GGGCGAGAAAGCACTCTGAAGTGCCTAGATCCGCCCTTTCTTCCCTTTGTCACTGGGGAACTGCGCTCTGCCTCCAACAGTCTGCCCAGGATGCAAATAGAAAAGGGGTCGGTCCGGCCGCCCTGCACGGCTGATACCAGCCCCAAAAATCATAGAAACATTTTTCAGGGGGCGCCCTGGACCCAAGGAACAGGTCTACGGTGCCCCATTTTTTTTTTTGAATTGCGGGGTTTTGGCCCCTTCCAGACGGGCCTCCTACGGTCCGGCGTCCAGAGACCGGACAGCAGACTGTGTGGACGCCTGTCCGGATGGTAGCCATGGTTCGGAGTGATGATGAATAGCTCATGCATTCGAGGGGCATTTTGCCATTTATACATAGGTCGTTCGCTTTTGGCAATTTTTTTTACCCTTGTCCTGTACCCGTCGGTGCATCTTCTGTTGGGAAATTTCACTAACTCGCTTGCGCTGCATGGATTGTTTTGGTTTATTGGTGATCAACAGCTCCTGTGATACAAGGGGGATTTATGCATTTTTCGTTCCCTTAAGCAATTCAATTCAACTGCTGGTTGTGAACCCTTTTATGAACAAGGAAGTGGTCCCAACACTTCTCGAGCGACATTATAAGGAGGTCATGCGCTGCTTAGCTGTGGAGGCAGGGGAAGCCAATGCACCTCCGGCTGATCTCGCGTGCAAGGTAAGCTTCAAATCCTTTTCTTTTCTTTTCTTTTTTCTTTTTTTTTATCCTTAACACTCAAAGCGTGTAAAGGGTCTCGCGTGACGCTCCCACGGAGACCCGCTTGCCAGTGTTGGGAAAGGCGGCGGGGCAAGGGGCGGGCCCACGGGACACCTGTGTCCTTTTTTTATCTTTTTTTGTCGTTTTGTGGGCTCGCTCGCGTCGTTTCGTTTTGGACTGCTGCAGTACGGAGAAATACGTTGCTTATCGTTTTTTGTCGTTTTGTGGGCCGGCTCGCGTCGTTTCGTTTTGGACTTAGGGCCTCGCTGCACTGCTCACGCTGCAGTACGGAGCGCTAGAGTACGGAGAAATACCTTGCTTATCTTTTTTGTCGTTTTGTGGGCCAGCTCGCGTCGTTTCGTTTTGGACTTGGGGCCTGGCTGCACTACTCACGAGACTGAATCTACCGCTAGAGTGCGGAGAAATACATTGCCATCTTTTGTCTTTTGCGCACGTAGATCCGCGGCCCGCGCGGTTATTTTTCTGCGTCGTGAAAGGGCGGTGGGGACGAACGGGATGAGTCAGAGGGGGTGCGGGGAGGTGGGGACCAGGGCAGTGGACGGGGGGAGGGGCAACGCGAGGAGCAAAAGAGGGACCAGCGGGGGCAGGAACGGGATGTGTGTGTGTGTGTGTCTGAGAGAGAGAGAGAGAGGGTATTGGTGCGGAATTGCAAATTATTTCTTTTTCCCCCTACTCTTGGTCCCCGCTCTTGGTCCCCGCCGCGACATGTCACATGAGAGAAGTCGGAAAAATTTGGGCCACTTCCCGAATTTATGTGTCATTCTTGTGCAGGGGCCATGCTAATCCTCGGTATCGTTCGAGGTTTAACGAATGTCCCCTGAAGGACCTTTTCATTTCCTTTTCATTTCCTTTTCATTTCCTCGGTCCCCTTCTCTTTGGGTCTCAATTCCTCGTAGTGCTGATACTTTTGGATGCAATGAAGCAATGGAAGGCTAGCTCCGAACTGTTCACCTTTCCTTTTCACTTTTGCTGTCTCCTTTTCTTCAGCTCCCAATTGCTGTAATTCTCTGTCTTCACTGTGTCATTTGCTGTAGTTCCATGTCACATTCCAGTCGACTGGTTGGCAGAGAACAGGGGTAGCCTTATCATTATGGAGTCGATTACAATTTAATGCGTTCGCTATCAGTGGCATTTCAACTTCCAACGGTTTTGGTTTCCACAAATTTGGACCATTTGTCGATTTGCATGTGTGAACCTCATGAAGGGGGCGCATGCTACCTTTGCTCATTAAAAATTAAAAAATTAAAAAAATGCAGGCTTATCTTCTCCTCATATGGGGGACAGCCGCATCTTTTTCTGACGATGCTATCATCGTCTCTCAGTATTGTACCTCGCACTGCCTACCCTGGACAAGCAAGGGAGCAGCCAAGTTTCTACCTCGCATTACCTACCCCGGCCAAACAGGAGCCCATCCACACATGAAGAGGATCTAGGGTCTAAGACTAGAGTCTAAGGCTAGGTCTAGGGCTACAGCAACTACTCTATTTAGGGGACCAGCCTTAAATCTACTAACTAGGCCTAAGCTATCCTGAGGTTATGGGTCTATGCCTACCTAACTCTGCTCTGTGCGGGGAGTAGCACCCAAGATCCTAACACCTGGTGCGGGCTGGAAAGTGAGACCCAACACTTCCACAACCAGCCAGGAGGGACAAGCCAATTTTCTCAGTCGGTGAACCCGAATTATGGCACACGGGGGGTCGTTGGGAATCAAATGGATGCCGTGGGGAATCAAACCCACAACCTCCTGTGTACCACTTACGTGCTCAACCCACTGAGCTAGGCCTTTGCTCATTTTAGATGCTACTGCTCTTTGTTCTTGCTGTCTTGCTTCAGAAGGAACATATTCAGCAGTAGATCCACTTGATTCAATGTCTATTATGCTTCTTTTTTGTTTTCTGTGACTGACATGTTTCATGGTTTTCTCTGTCAAAGGTGGATTACGTTGCAAATGATGTGGAGGCGGCGAAGAAGCTGCAGCAGTTTCTACTGCAATACAAGTAATTATCCAATCCATCATGCCCATCAGTTTTTCAGAAGGGTGGTGGTGCACTGGTGGGGTAACATTTCGTACTTTCAGGTCTTAACCTCTTCCCGAGAGTGAAGGATTTATGACAATCTTCTGCTGACGGTGCTGAAATCATGGAAGCGGAATCACCCTTCGTAAGGACCTACATCAACCTGCAGGCGAAAGAAACGCCCAGCCTTAGGAATCCCTCACGCTTTACCTTCTAATCATGCGGAAATTATTGGGTCCTGTAACAACCCATGCTACTTTTCTCTTCTTTTTTTTTGAGTGAATCGAAGTCAAGGCCTGCCACACAGGTGTGGAGGTCGGGCATGCAGGGGTTGTCTTTCGACTTTGAGCGTCTACTTGTGTGCAAAATACATTCGACTCGTAGTTGGTCCTGATTTTTGCAAGGGAAAAAAACGAAGCATAAAAAAATTCAAAATTCACACAGGGACCTGTCTGCGGAATGAGAGCGGAGGAGATCGGTGCATTGCAGGCTAGTATCTCGCGCTCTCTCTTTCATTGAGAATCTCTCTCCCCCTTCCAGGGCTCATTCAACACCCTGAACACTGTGTGTGTGCATGCATTTCTGTGTGTGAGAGTGTGTGTGCATGTATGGGGCGGCGGGTGGAGAGGGGGGGGGGTAGTTGTGGGTTCGGAAATGATCTCATGGCGCATCTGCCATGCTACTCCACTCTTTCAGTGGTACAACAGGTCCACCCATAGCCCATCACATGCCGTTTTAACTGCCACCCATCCATGCTACCTTGCCAGCTCAAAATGACAGGCCACACACAAACAAACCAAACAGGCAAACCACTGCTGCCACTTTACTTCTCTGAAGCTACCTCATACATCCGTGGCTAACCACAACCAGTTTTCTAAGTCCCACATAGGATGGAGGGCATGGGGGAGGCGGGAGGGCAGATGACACACAACGACATCAAGCAGGCAATGAAAAGGCATGACGTGGTAAGGCATGGGATGACAAGCAACAGCGGAGGACAAAGGCTGGAGGGCAGACAACACACAAGCACACCAAGCAGGGGGGAGGGCAGACAACATGCAAGCACATGAAACAGGCAAACAGGAACATACAAGTCCCAAAAAAACAAGAAGACCGAAAAAAATAAAAACTGATGATAACAAGATTGTTTCGTCGGAGTTGCACCGACTCATCAGGAGGCTGAACCCTCGACAATCTGTGGAATCCCCGTATTTGATGGTTTGGGTCATGAACCCTTTGACCCTTGTTGAAGGCAGACTGTCCCCAAGCGGAACATAGCAGCGGGCAGCAACCCTGTGGAGCACCAGGCAACACAGTAGAGGCAACACGGCTGCACAACGCCAAAAACGACTGCAAGGAACGACATGGCACGCAGGGCATGCAGCGCGGCAACCGTGTAGTGAAGCACAAGACAACACAAGCAAGGCAACAACACTGCAGGGGACGACAGGGCGAGCAGACCAGCAGCTCGGCAACCGTGGAGCGGAGCACAAGGCACCAGCAACAAGCGACCAACCTACAAGGCACACAAAGGGCAAACACGGAAGGCGCGACCAGCGGATGGGCAGCACGGCAGCGGAGCAGCGAAGGGCAAGGCAACACCAACAACACGGCCACACCACACAGCGAACACATCAACCTACGAAGAACCACATGCGAAGCAAGCGGGACAAGGAGCAGGGCAACGGCGGAGCGCAGACGAGGACATCCACACAGCCAACACGGAGCAAAGCGGCACATGACCTACTTTCACATCACGAGTTAACCCCGCAGACTGTTGGTTCCCACCACCGACTGAGCCAGGGAAACACTCCGACGACCATCCGTCATCACCGACAGGCAACACAGACATCCCGAACCGAGCGGTCCCCCTAAGAGTGCAGTAGGCACTCCAAACGAGGACCCACCGACTGTTTGGCACTGCTAGAGGGTGCTCGGCTAGAGACACAAAAAGTACATAGAAACAATAGGAGAAAGACGAAAAACAAACATACCTAAAACTGATTGTGTGTGTGTGTGTGTGTGTGTTGTGTGTGTGTGTGTGTGCAATGACTTGCTGATTTCTGCTGCCGAGTTTGTCTGCGAGGCTGTACACTAACCGTAGGGTTAGATTCGCAATTTTGTTTGGCTGATGGCTAACCGAGTGACTTGCCTGTTGGGAAATTCGCGAGGGACAGACCGGTAATTCTGAGGGACTACAGGCCCTAAGCTAACCGAATCCCTACTACTACCCTAACTGCCTATAGCAGGCCCGGGCTACCCTAGGACAGACAGGCCCTAAGCGGCCTATACTGGTATACGGTCCTATAGCCTATAGCCGGGTCCGGTAGAGGCCGAGAGGTCGAGAAACAGCAACGGTACCGGTAGGTCCAGTCAGTCCAGTTTCGGTCTAGGCTAGTGTAGGAATCTATAAGGCTAGGAAGGAAACTGAGAGGGGCTTTTCAGACGCGCGTTTCTTTTCTCGGGGGAGTGGCGTCGGGCGCTGTCCGGAAAGGAGATGGCAGGAGTAGAGTCGAGGTGCGTGTGAACGGGCGTGCGGAATCGCAGCTGCAGCCTCTCTCTCTCTCTCTCTCTCTCTGTGCCTGTTGCGCCTGAAGATGTGGAGGGTTCCGTTCACGCTCGGCCCAAAGAGGAAATAGTGTTCGTGGCCAACCAAGTGGTGGAGTGCTGAATGTCTACAGCGGCACCTGAGACATCAGCGCAGTGGAGCAGCCATAGCCAGCCTTCTGAGACAGCCATAGCTGGGGCTGTACTCAGCGCATCTATCCCCTGGGGATATCTGCCTGGACAGGGCTATATCGGAGGTCTTCACTGAGTATATGTGGGTACTATTGCTCCGGTAGCAGCTAGGCAGCCATAGCTGCCTTCTTCATCGTCAGAGTGACTAATCGGCACTGGAGACTACTTCGCTGTTCATGATCTGCATCTGGGTGGATGGCGCTGGCCTCTGGGAGGCTGTTGTTGTGCAGCGCTAGACTCTGAGAGTGTAGTAGTGAGTGGAGTGTGTGGTTCTGGAGTGGCGAGATACTGGGTGGAACTCTGTAATGATAATTGAGGTTAACTGTGTTGAGTTGGCTCTTCGTCTGGGTTACTTTCGAATTGTGATCTTCGCAGTGTCAATTGTGATTGGTTGTTGGGAGTGTGTCAGGGAGAGAGAA